GAAAAGGAAAAATAAGGATTAGTACAAGAACTGCAAGGTAGAGTTTCACTGGGAATTGGGTATATCAGTAGCTCTGTGAATTGACCCTTGTGTGCCCCATTTCTCCTATGGAAATTTTCCTAGGGAATTTACAGCGATTTGTTTTTATCTTGTGAAGAATTGAGCAGATAAATACTACAGAAGTTAAGTGGCCAGATATTGTGTTGAAAAGTAAGACAGATATAAGTAGGGGTAAGCTTCAGATAATTTATTTTCATTATGACAGATGAGAGGGGTTTTTTTAAATAAATGTATTTGTTACAATATTACAAAAATATTTGAATCCCTTATTCAGGAAAAAGACATGGCATGTTTTTATAGCATTTTCTGTGTCATAAATGGAAAATCCTAAGATGTAACACAAATACATTTGTAGTATAATGCGCTACTAGTCTGAGCTTTTGCACTGCACTTCTCAAAAAAAGGAATATGTATTATGAAATCTCACTCTTCTGTTTTGTTTATTCTAGTGTTACAAATCTTAAATACCGGGGAAGATGTGAGCCTGTGATTTCAAGAACTCTTCAGTTTCTAAATGACCTTTCTGTTGGATATCCTTTCTATTGTATATGGCATAACATATTATTTGAAAATAATAGAAAAATTAATACGAGACTTTTGTTGTTTTGTATGCCACATTTTTAAACCAATTAAGATATTAATATTTATTCATTTTGATATATCTTTTTCTATGCGTAGTTTTTAAAAAGTGTGCTTATTTCCACCCACTTCTTAGCAACAAAAGAGAAATCGTATAACTAGTTGCTTATGGTCACCTATCCCATTCCTGTTCTTCTTGAAGTCAATAGCATTGATGAGTTTGACAGTACTGAGAACAGGGTTGATTCTGTTAGCAGTTGAAAACTGGATTGGTTCTACTTTCAGGATGAGTCAACTAAGATTGGACTTGATGATCTTTGAGGTCTCTTTCAACCATAATGATTCTATGATTCTATGATTCTATATGATGCATGAGTTAGATTTTAAACACAAGCCTCTTCACATGTTTTATCGTTGCCTGATTCCAAGTTCCTCACTGTGTCAGCATCATCATTACTACTGATAAAACAGCCATGACTTTGCATGTGGTTTTTTGTCTGGGTTCAAGTGCGTTTGTGAAGTTCTTACCCAAATCCTGGATGCTAACTTTCTATCTGTTGCAAACCTTTTGTATCTTGTTCTGATACTCATTTACTTATAAGCTGGAGAACAATGTTTGCTCTTGGAATTTTCAGTCAATCAAGTAAGATGATGTAAAAAAAAGTAGTAGCTGTTTTTGATGTGACACAATATTTAAAGGTATATGACAGATAGTAAACCACCAAGGCTCATGAAAACATTCAATATTGAAATCTTTCACTATTTTAAAATAAAAACAACTTTTCACTAATTTTCTAGAGGAGATTGTTAGACAGGCAGAGGGGAAGGCACCTGGAATATGACGATTGGTATCATTTTATTTCTCCATAGAATTCTAATCCTATAAGAAGAATTTTAATGTATTTCCTTGGGTTGAAAGATGACTGTGGGTTTTCACATTCCATAAGAGAATTTTGTTTAGTGAAAATCATACAGTGTGTACTTCTATATGTTTGCTTGAAACACCATTAAGCAGCTAACTTGATATTTTAAATATGCATGTGTTTACGTTCTCATGGCATCACAGAAATAGGACTGGAAAGGACTTGAAAGTGAAACATTACTAAGGAGTTTGACAAAAACAGAAAGGGAGACATTTATTTCATCAATAAGATTTTTGGAGGGACTAATGAGCTCTCTCCTCTTTTATACTATACTCATTGCTTCAGTAGGGTTCAAAACACTTTCAGAATAGTGAAGAAATTTAACGTGGTCCACCTCATTTAAAGTGCTTGCCTATTTATTTATGCATGTACACTTGCTGAAATAATCACCCTCATATTACTGCTAAAGCCAACAAGCATCTGTCATTTCATATTGTCTTCTGGAGGCTTTCAAAGGCATATATTCGTATGGAAGCTCTCAAAAATGAGGGTCAGTATAAACTATTGATGCAAATAATGCTTTCTAATGCTGAAATGTCTGGATAGTTTTAGTTCTCGAATTACTCAAATTATATTTGCAGTAAATGAGTTTCTGCTGGTGAAATAGATATAATACTATCAGGACCTAGAAAGGATGAAAAAACAGATATTTAATAACCTAAGTTCTCCTGAAGAGTAGAATTGTGGTGGGATTGTGGGTTCTTTTCTTTGCAGAAACTTGCTAACTGTTGCAAGAGAGGTTTCAGACCGCTATGCATAGTCAGAATGTAAAGCTGCACTGCCTTCATAAATATACATCTTAAATATCAATGTGAAATGTTTAAAGACTAATGAAAAGAGAGATTAACTAAAAACATAAATACCAAAAATTTTTTAAATTACTTTTCAATGGAAATACTTCAAACAAAAATTCTGAGAACAGTAGCTTTTCTGGGTGGGATTGTACAAAGACAGCTTTAATGCTGGTTCCCTTCACCATGATGTTGTATTAGTTAAGTTTAAAATTGTGTTCCCTGGCAAACCATAAAGATTTCAAAAGTATTAGACACCCACTTTTGTGCTGGAATTTAATATGCAACTTTTTATTGGAAAATAATCGTCCTTGTCTGGCAAAATCCACCATGCAATATTTCTGTTAGTAGGCATAATGCAATAAAGACAGGGAGGGCTATTTATCACTACAAATTTTGAGGATTTCAGGATTCTTTTTATTATTTTAATATATTTCTTTGGTATTAAATCAGAAAAATGATAAATTACACCTGTCGAGGCTGTTTTTCCTTTTTCCCAGAAAATGATGTACAACCCAATTTCACTGGTCATTTTGGCTTTTAAAGATATGTATTTTTTTCCTATTAAAAACTCTACCAATAGTTTTTTTTTTTAATAATAATACTGAAGTACTTTTTATTTCAAACATATGAAGTAGTTTATAACTACTTCCTGGCATTGCAAACTTTGGCCTTTTCACATTATATTAGGGTTTTTTTAAAAGACATTAAGTATATATTGCTTTGAAAGAAATAGTGTCTTGTTAAGATGCTGGATCCAGTGGATCAATTTTCAGTATTTGATATAGATTAAATTGTGGCTAGCCTGAAAGGTTAAAATAATAATTTATTTAATTTCAGTACTTTCCTGTATGTCAATCAGCTTCTACACAGTCTTAGAAATTGGCATTTTTCTTTTTTTATGTATATAATAGCCTTTTTCTAAAGGATAATCTGGAATTAAAAGCAAACCGTAATTCCAGCAACTGCACTATAACAGGAAAAAAAAAAAAAGAAGAAAAAACATTAGACAGTATTAACAACAAAGGCAACAAATGATTGGAGCTGGTGTCATGGTTTACATTACTTTCACAATTATTCCAGGTTTGCATATTTTGAAATATATTAGCCCAATTTGATTTCAAAGCTCAGTTATTTGAATTATAAATCATTATGTCCCTCCTAGCTGATCAGTCCTGAAATATCTTTGAATTCATTTACATAATGGAATATGTTAGTCGTTCCTTTATGTCTTTGAAGCCATAGTGCTCCCTCATGCATGTTTAGTTCTTTCTAATAATTAACTTTTCCACTGTCTATTTTTTGTAGCAAAATAACTACAGTTTCATTGTTATTTTGTATAATAACTTGGGGTAAAATATTTATAGTCTCTCCGAAATTCTTTATCCATGTCTTTGTTAGCCTTATGAAAGGCTCTCCCTTGTAACAAGGGGGGAAAATAACCCAACTGTGTAGCTTTGCAATATAAAACCAGGTAATGCTATGTCAAATGTTATAGATTGACAAAGGAACATCATCTTAAAACTAGATTAGGAGATTTTCCAATAGCAGCTATAAAACCTATTCTTACACTTTTACCTGTTTAAAAGAACTTAATCCATTTACAATGAAAAGGGAAATTGTTTATTCCCATAAAAGTAATTGAACTCTTCAATCAATTATGTGCAGGAATGGCAGTGAAGCAAGCACTCAAAGAAAAGAAAGTAGTAACAACAGTAAGTGTTAGGGGTATTTGTTTGTAAAATCTTCTGTGTTTGTACAGGACTGTAGGCACTACTGTACAGTCTAAAGTTATACAATCATACTGATTATTTCTTAAAGAACTTCATCAATGCCAGGGATCAACAAAGTTTGGTAATGAGTCCTTTTTTTATAATGCTCATTGTAGAATGTACAAACCCATAAGTCATTTCATTCATTTGATGCCTTCAATGCTTATGAACATTTCTGGGGTTTGAATTTTTCTGTTTTTGAAAAAGTGTATTCGTATACTTGGATATCACAAAGCCTTTTGTATCCCCATTTTACAGATGCAGAACTGAGACAGTGAAATTTACCTGACTTTCTGAAAGTCATACAACAATTTTATGTCAAATGAAGGAGAATCAGGAGTCAAAAAATCCAGGCCGTTGCTTTAGCCATTCTCTCACTCCTTCTTTGCAAACAGCCCTTGCAGCAGTGGTTACTTCTGTACAAAAACTCACAAGGATGTCAGCGTGGCTCTTTTTGGAATGCACAGTATTATCTCCTTTGCCCCACCCCAAACATTTAAATCATCTGAGACAGGGAATTAGTGTGTGCTCGTGCTATTAAAAATGTTCATAGTTCACAGAGCTAGGAAAAGATTGAAGTTGTGAAACAAGGCTTAACCGTCTGAAATTTAGGGGCTTCTATAACACAGTTTTTGCAAACTCAACTTTTGATTTAATAAGATTTCTCCTGCTTTTTAAAAGAAGCCTTAAGAAAAATATTACATTTCAGTAGATGTAACTAGGTAGTAAGTCATGTTAGAATATGCAATCTGTAGAATATATGCAGTCCAGGAAATACGTTGCTTCTGTCTCATTAATGTGCATCTCCCTGGGAGCCTTTGTATACAAGCAGGTGCAAACAGAGTCAAGCCTATCCTGCTGGACCAGGGCCAGGAGCTTCAGCCCAGGAGTCATGTAGCTTTGCTAGTGCAGTAGACCAGACCAGAGCAGACGACCTTCCTGAGGGGCCTGCGCTGAGAGCCGAGCGTGGTGGCTGGGGCCGATGCTGTACTACTGTAGGTAGCTGCCATCTGGACTGGCACTGGCTTGAATTTAGCCAGTTTGTGGAGTGGGAGGCTTCAGTGCATGCTTAGCTGTAGTCAATTCAATTTGCTTTATGTTTTCTAAAGTTTGAGAAACTGGGATTCCTGTGGAAGTATCCATAGATACACCCAAAATTCCCAGCTGTACCACCTTGTTATGGGCTTTGCTCTGGCTCTGAGACTTTTTATGTTCTCAAGAAATTTCTGTACAGTTCTCATACATCTGAAAATACTTTCAGCATGCTGATGACATGGGTCTATCTGGGGAAAAAACAGCACCATTTATTATCATGGATTTGTAGAACGGTTTGGTTGGAAGGGACCTTAAAGATCCTCTAGTTCCAGCCCCCCTGCCGTGGGCAGGGACACCTTCCACCAGACCAAGTTGCTCGAAGCCCTGTCCAACCTGGCCTCGAACGCTTGAAACTCTCCGTTTAATTATAAAAGTAATTTAGTTCATTCGTCTCTTTTGTGACTAGAATATATGCCATGAAAAGTAATAGCTTTAATTAATAATAGATTATGGTCTTTAATGTTCTAAAGAATATCTCAATGATACATATTTCTAGATGAAATTCAGGTATATTTTAACGTACATTTGTTGTTGTTTCAGTTAGGATTTTTGTTCTCACTAAAAATTCCTGAAAGTTTGTACAACCTGATAATGTAATCATAATGCTGCAAGGCTGATTTTTTCCTTAACACCTGCTACTTACAGTCTCCTGAAAAAGCTTGTGAAAATAGAGGCTGTGAGATTCATGCTTCAGAATCACACAGTAAGTTTTCTTACTATGTTAAAAAACATTGTGTGTAGTAAATTTTGTAGAACACTTAACTTTCATATGCTTATGTTTCAACAGAGTAAGCACTTCCCTTTCTTGGGCATCAGTGATAATTACAGTCTCAGTGACCTTAGGTGCCGGACGGTGTTTTACACTGCTCTCACTCGTCTTCTCATGGTAGATTTAGGTAAGATCCTCCTCCCATGTCCCTGAGGCACCTTACTGTCTTGTGTAGTACTACGACTTCTTAAGGTTCTTGAAGCAATCAAACAGCAGCTTAATTGTGCGGTAACTATGTTATAGTTGGTATTTAAATCACTGCCTGTCAACTTTTGAGATTTATGGCATTAAGCAATAACACTGTGTTTGTTGCCTTCCGTTGAAGAAACAAATAAGCAAGATAAGTAGCTTATTTGCACAGAAGCGCTTTTTGTATTAACTGCAAGGATTTATGTTAAAGTGCCTGAATAAGTGTTTTGCATTTCCAGGTGACATACCGATTATGCCAGAACCTTCCAGCTTGTAGTATAAGTTTTTTTTATTTCACTTCTTCATGGAAGTTCCCAATATACAAAGACCCTCCCAGTTTTAATAAACATTGACAAGAGTTCTGCAGTTCAACCAGCAATACTTAAACATGCACTTAGGGTTACGTTTTGAGTTGTCCTTTGGAAATTAGAGAGGTCAGACACATATAAAACCCAGTGCATGCTTTAATAGCTAAACGTGATCTAGAACTTGGTCAGTTTGAATCCAGGCACTGCCCGTGGCCACTGGAGTAAAATGCAGAACTCTATGATTAGCTCTCTGTTGTCTAAACAGAGAAGGCTGGGCTTGTCAAAATGAACACTAAGACAAGTCGTGCATTAAAGAAGCTGATGGTGAAGAATGCAGAACGTCTCAAATGGCCTCTCTTCTGATCAGAGGCCCAGTTCAGAGTTACGGGCTTATGTCTGCTCAGGATCTGCCTTACCAACTGCTTTCGTGAGGATGGATGCCGGTACGTGTTCTGAGGGGGGCTGCTGATAAGGGCCTTCAAAAAATAAGAAGGCAAGTCTTTTGTGTACTGGTTTCCAGCCTTCATGTAATGACTTAACTGGGCAACGTGTGCAGAAAGGAATGACACAGACAGTCATAAGCCAACTGTCGTTGTTACTCCCCTTGCTGATAATGGGTGCCTGTACTCTCTACTGCGGAACAGTGCTGAAAACGGTTAACTTCAAGGAAAGACCGAACCACATTTATCAGCATTTTCTTAAAGAATGGCAACTGTGAGCTGAACCTGCATTTACTTGCACTTAAACTGCTTTCAGTACTGGCTCAGTGTTGTATAACATAAGCAATAGGTACATTTTCTAATATAAAATGGGTTACACATGCAGTTTCAGTAACTTTTCCTACAGGGGGAAAAAAAAAGATTTGGTAAAAACAAGATCACAGGTGTTGAAAATTACATCTCAAAGTAGAGGTTGTGTAAATATGTCAGACAAAGTGCAGGCACGTGACTTACGACTGACTACGTGCTGATAGAGATCGTTGTGATTCCTCTGGATTAACAACTCTACAAGGTCTGGGAAAAGCATCATCAGTCTTGTGGCTATGGGCCTTTGTGTTCCTACTGGAATAAATTTGGGTTTGAACTGATAGAAAAGCTCATCTAGAGACACAAACAGGTATAAGTTGCCTTAAAACTTATATCCAAATTTAAAAAGTAAGGTGTACACGAACTGTCATTTCTATGTGTTTGTGCAAGCATTAAATGACAGTATTCTTACCTTGTGAATCAAAAGATATTTTCAAACTGTGAAACTGGAATTTTTAGACAAAAAAGCATTATACCAATTGTCTTCTATGGGTTTTTTCCGAATTAAATAAAGAGCTTTATATAAAATCCTATTTATATAAAATCTAAAACAATTTACATGGAAACAAAATTAAGATGAATTTTTATTGGTGGGAGTCGTTTTAAGTAATTGTTTGATGTAGAAATACTTTTTGGAGATTAGTTGAACGCAGTAGATTCAGAATATTTACGTTTTAAACAATGTACTCTTGGAGTGACTGGCAAAATTTAATTGTAGTAGGAAAGAACAGTAGTATATTAATTGGTATTTGCTTCAAAATGCACTTTGGTTTCTGTTGAATTACTTTAACCTCATATGAATATAATTAGACTTTGAATTCCTTAGTGCCCCACATTGTGTTTTTAATAGTTTTTTTGACATTTAGAATTACGTCATTTTGTCCAAGTTTCTTAGTCCAAGATTTCTAAACTAAACTCAATATTCTGTTGTGTGAAGTGTATAGTAACCAAAACTAATACAAGAACACCAGTAAAAGTTAAGTTTAAATAAAAGTTTTTACTAGGATTAATAAATTTTAATCTCTTTTTCTTCTGCACTACCAAAAGGAGTAGATCTAAGTTGTAGAATACCTTCAGGAGGTCTTCAGCATGATTTGTCAGTGTCCTGTACTTTCAGGTATATGCAGTCATGCTCAGTGCCAAACCTCTCCCAAGTGAATTAGCCAAGCACGGATCTACTGTACCTTAGAAGTGAGGCATCTCTTTTATTTCAAAGGACATAGTAAGGATGTGTGTGCATAGTTTGAATTACAGAAAATGAACAATTTACCATGGTGGGTTTGTTTAGGATAGTTTCTTTCCTTATTAATACTGTACTGTTCATGGGACGTGAATGTGGCCTCTACAGGAATGCAAAAGAAATGTATAGGTAGTAATTTGTATTGCTTTTCTAAAACTTACAAATTACTTTATTAGTAGGGCAGTACTATATAGGATCCTAATTGTGTATTCTTTCTTCACTGCCTACACTGACATTTAAAACAGAAACAGCATGTAAGATTTCCCCTTACCCCATTTCCAGAACTAGCTGGTTTGTCATTGAAGTGTTGGTCCCAATCAACATTGGACATCCTGGTAGCTCTTTGGTCCTCTCAACTTTTAATGAAGTATGCTTGAGATTCTGCCTTCAGGAAGGGTTCGTCTTGAGTTTGTATGTGTAGATGGTACATCCTCAGCAGACAGAAGCCCATAACTCTGAACGGGGCCTCTGATCAGAACAGAGGCCATTTGAGACGTGCTGCATTCTTTACTATCAGCTTCTTTGACACACCAATTTGTTTCAGTGTTTGTTTTGACAAGCCCGGCCTTCTCTGTTTAAGCAATTCTAAAAATGGCAATTGAGCCTTGATCCTGCATAGAGCAGTATCCAAATGACTTCTGTTAGTCTGTATGCTGGCATGGGACAATACCAGCATGGGACTCTTTCTAAATGATTGGTCTTTATTTATTGATTTTTTTGCTACAAGGAAGATCTGGTAAGCAATTAAAAGGAGAAAAGCATCAGGATATGCAATGCATATAGAAATAGTTTCACTTCTAGGAATAGTTATCCTCTTAGGGTAAGAGGAGGCTGATGGTGGTTGAGCAAAGAGATTGGGAGTGCAGAAACTAATCCTGTATTGGAACTGCCTGAGGAGCTGGAGTTGGCAAAGGAAGGAGATAGGAACAAAAAGCTGGATGAGTAGTCTGGAGTTACTGTGAGTAATCAGAAGAGGACACAAGGGTCCAGAAATGACGAATAAAAAGACTGACTGTGGTTGAAAGGAGCAGAGAGATGGCAGAGGAGATGGGCAAAGATTGACAGCATTGGATTTTCCCAAAGTCCACCATATCCTATTGCTGGCAGCATTAGCTTTGGAATCGAGCACAAAGCATCTCACCCTCTTCAGTTCTTCTGCAGGTGCAGGATACAAGTCGGAGATTTGGTCAGTTACTTGCTAGTTTAAGGAAGTTCTTGAGCATAGATTGCAATTTGAAGGCCCTGTAACTGTAGCTGACCAGTGCAGTAGCAGTAAGTTATTGAAAGTATTTCCTTTGCTTTTAAAAAAAAAAAAAAAATCTGGAAAACTGGCCACGAAAGCCCTGCATTAAAGGGAAGCAGTTCAGGTCACAAAGCCAAGCATTCAGAACTGAGGAAATGCCATAATTGGGGTTGCCTCTGCAACTTTCCTTTCCTCTCCATTGTAAATATTTACATTGTTATGAGGCAGTTTTAATTGCAGGATCACAGTTATTTCTCTCAGAGGATATTTACCTCTTTCAGTTGAGAACATGTGTCATCCTAGCGTAATGAGAAGCTACTGAGTATTTTGAATTTAATTTTTTTTCTGTGTTGTCATCTAGGTTTATGTGTCAGTCCACGCTTTGCTTTCTGTTGTGACTATTTTTGTCTTCCTGGCCTTTCTTCTTCTTGGCCTTTTCTGTCATTCTTACTGTTGTACTGGGGTGAGTGATTTGATCTTCACAGTATCCCTAGAGATAAGAGGCTGGAACTAGACTGGTTTTGCAGATGCGTATAGTGTAGAAACGAAAGTGTAAAGCTTACACTAACTTTGCACAACCAATTTGACACGTGAAAGACTCCTCCTAACTTCAGTTGCAACTTAGTTTGACAGACTTTGCCAATGAAGAGAGAAGGGAGAGAAGCCCTATAGCAAAGAGCTCTTTAAAGAACATAAATTAAATTCCTACTCTCAATTACTCTCGAGGGGAATCTGCGTGAGAGAGGCAAGCTACCCTCATTAAGGGCCTAAAGATAAGTAGCATGAGTAGCAATCCTCATGCAAATTGCCATGTCTAAAAAGTTGGTTTTTATAGTTACATGTTCAGCCTCATGACAAAACAAAAACAATCCAGACTTCAGATTATCTTTCAACCATCTAACCAAGACAATCTCTTTTTTCCCTACTGACAACATCTTGTTTCTTTTACTCTAAATTCACACCTTCTGAAACAAATGAGGCAGTAGTGTCACACAAATAACCCCAAAGCAGTCCAGATTTATTTCCACAGCAGTTTCATTCTGTATACTAAATAGGTAGGAGGTAGAAAAAATAAGATATGATCATAAAAGATTTAAACATCATACTGTAAAGTACACGTGAAAGGAGCTAATTTATCATTGCAGTTTTGAATTTAACATTTTTCTAACTGTTGAGTCTTGACTTATATGAATATCCTTCTAACGTACTGCACAAATGCTGTCAGATTAACAGAGGAAACTGAAATATGAGAAGGAGAAAGATGTGAAATGCAGACGTGCCAGTCTCAGATACAAGTTGTTTGCGATCAACAATTTGTCGTCTTTGTTTATAGCTCAGTAAAAATATGTCAAACCTCAGGTTTTTGTTCCTGTAGGTCATATGAAAGTTCCCATGATGTCAGTGAGATTTTTCTATAAAAGCCCAAGAGACTGACCCTTCTGAACAACAGTGTGAATATGATGTGATGCTTTTGCTGTTCTGTTTTGGTTTCTTTTCCTGTAGGTGAAGACGAGGATCAGTTTGAGAATTTCATGCTCCCCCTCACAGTTTCATTTGAAAGCGTGACTCAGATATTCAAGAGTAGTTTTGAGCAAGAAGAAGCAAAGGTAGGTTTATTTCTGGGAAAGAAATAATTGATGGGGAAAACTAATAGTGGGGCAAGCATTTGGCAACAAGCTTGTCATCTCTTCTTCTGTCTGTCTTTCTTGGCATGTATATACCTGTGTACTTACATGTATATTTATACCCATATACATATATATAATTAGGAATGTAGACAGTAGAGAGACAAAGAGTATGAATGACTATCCTAAATAAACTGTGTACAAAGACTTTATAGAGGCCTTGGGATTTTTCAGTGCTTTGCAGATCAAGTGACCCCATTTGAGCCCCATTTACAATCAAAGGGACAAATGTGGCTTCAGTGATAGCTTATGTTTCATATGTAATATTGCTCTTTGCCATGCAAGTATCCTGTTTGTGTATATTAACATATTTATTTGGGGGTATGAGGAGACATGTTGTAACACACTTGATAAAACACTGCTGCTTTAAAGTATTTTTTCAAACAAGAATTTATTATATAAATCAAGACTTTATTAAATGGCTGGGCATATATGTATAAATAGGAACTGGTCTTGAAGTATTGCACCCTTAAACTGAACAAAGTGATTAGGATAACTGATAGCTAAATAAGGTTTTTATGTGCCTGTGGGAGCCATATTAGGATTGATTTGACAAGTCAGTTCAGCTGTGGCAACAGTCATAATATCTAACACAACATTATGTTTTATTAGTAAAATCCTTAAGCGTAGCAAGCTGTTTGTGTCAAAACAACAGTATATTTTAGGGAAGAAAAAGACTTGCTAGATAGAAGCTGCATCATCAGGAATGATAATATATTAGAGCACTATTGCATTAAAGAGATCCCCTTCTACCGTCACTGAATAAATAGTTAACAATGCACACTGGAGTGCTCGCTTCAGCTACAAAGGGTAATTTTGAAGAAACCCTAACAGTAATTTTTAATTCGCTATTTTAAAATATCATGGAAACTTAAATACTACATCATCATATTTATCCGGTTTCTTTCATAAGAAAATAAACAGATATGCTAGAAATATTTAGTAAATAATTTGTCTGCGGTACATCTCTGACACTGCCAGAAGATGCACAGTTCATAATAATCACTTGAATTAAGCTAATTATTTTTTTAAAAAATAGTACTTCAGGTTATTTCAACAATTACTTATTTCTAGTTTCCTCATTTGTTGTTGCTTTATGTATTTAATTTTAATAACTTTTATTACATAGACACAGTTCATCTATCTTGGATTCATCTCTTATATTTTCAAGTTATAAATCCTAAAAAGTAGAACAAAGAAGTCATTTGATAGTGTTACCCTTTCTGTAGGAAACTGTATTTATCTTATGTGAGGATTCAGTTTATTAAAATAATTTTGCCATTGTCCTGTCTGGTTTGCTTGAAACTATCTTAGTAGAGAAATTTTAATGGAGTGCCAGTGATATATTCCTAAACTAGCAAGTTCTTAACGACCCTGGAAAGTGACTGCTTGATTACACTTTAACGGTATTTGCAAATAAAATCACAAGTAATTAAGGGGAAATCTCCAGGCTTTTGAGCAAGTTTGATGCATGATAACTGCCTGATTCAGCTTCATCTAGAGTAATGCTGTGTAGACAAGAGCTACTGAGATCAATAGCAACATAATGATAGTGGCAGAATTAAGTGAGTAACCTGAGAACTGTGTCTTCAAAATGCATGCAGCTGCCACAAGCCAGGGCCACACAGTGCACTCCGTGCTTCCGTCCTAAATGTTCATCAAAAGACGCCCTGCAGGAAAATGGAGTTAGATGCTCTTTATTGCTGATCGTGTCTCTTGCCACATTTATCAGGGAAATTGGATTAGCAGTTGGCAGCTGCAGGTAGACAAGGTTCTGTAGTGATTAAATATGCAGCTTGGCTGCATTTGTTGTGACAGACCTTTAGTAAATTCTACTGTAAGCACCATCTGTCTAATTTGTATAAAGAAAACTTGGTGCTTTAAGCTACTGATAAAGAACTAAATCTGTTGCTTTATCATAAACCAAACTTTTGCTCTAAATTCTCTTAAACATAATGTATTAGGTTAAAGCTATTTTTCTATCATGATGAATAAATAATACATGCAAAAGCGCTTTCAGGTACTTCATTTTGCAAGTACTGAAAACAAAAACAGTTGAGTTCTTCAATAAAATGCTTAGTATTCCAATCCACAGGGAGATGACACTGTTAAAATATCACTATGAAAATGGTCCAGGACTGCCAAATTCATTTAATTTGTGGTTTTTACTAGGACTTTCTAACTGGCTAGGGTTTGGGTGGGGTTTTTTTTAGTTTTTTAATATTTCTGGAATATGCCATTGAAAAACGGTTGCAACAAGGGAGCTTTTTCTTTTTAAAATACATTTGTAATCATTACATCTGCATACAAAACATATGTTTAGGTTTCTTTTCCACGGAGATCAAATATAATTGAAGATGACTTGAATAATTATGTGCTTTGCTTTCCTTTCCCCTTTCCCTTCCCCCCCCCCCCTTTTTTTTTGCTACTTCCTTCTTTACATTTTTATATTAATAGGAAAAATGTCCAGTATTAAAACATTGGCTAATTTTCTCCTAAGAATTTCAAGGTTTCTCTTGACAATCCGGTTAAGTAGTATGTCAGCTGCATAGCGGGAATCTCAGTAGTACTTTGTTTATAGTTGTGACATCATCAGATTTGCTAGAAACGCATGAAAAAAAGGATCTGAGGAGAAAGCAGTTAAATAGCAACATGCTATCTTTAGCTGGTTTGTAGAAACTCCATGCTGTTAAATTATTTAAAATCCTTGATTTTCAGCTTGCACACATTAAAAGTTTTCACACTAAGTGCCAAATGTTGCAAACAGCACTTTAACAGAATGATTTTGCTTTGATCCCTGTAGCAGTTCCTGAATAATTTATCACAGGTTATTGCCTTAATTCTGGAGAGGGATAGAGCAATAAAGGCAGATGAAAACACTCCAGTTGAAACACCTTGGGGCCTGCTCATTCCTCTGACACGGCTCTTTTGTTGGAACTATTTAGAGGTTATTAAGACGTGTCTCCAGAATTAAGAGTATGCTGTAAGGATGAAGACAGCCATCTTAATTCTAAAGACAAAGCGCAATGACCCTTCACCTTTTTTTTTTCCTTTGTTGTTATTATATAGTAGAATTATGAGGGTAATATTATAGCTGCGCCCAGTAGTACCACTATAGTTAAGGGTCTGTCAGACTTTCCATTACAAGCCCTGTTTTGGGGGTGGGTGGCGTGAGTAGTCTCGTCTGTTTTAAATTGCGTTAGTCAGACACTTGGCACATGTTGGCAGGTCATAGGATTTTTTCTGTGAATATTTAAATTTTCCGCTCCTTTCTTTTGAAAATCTTCAGGACTTTGAAACAAAATACTTGAATTTATTTTTAAAATTACTTTGTTTTAATTAATCTTAAGTAAACCTATCACTAAGATTCAGGGAAGAATATTTCAAAACCAAAATTTGAACAAAATTGTTTCATTAGCAAGAAAAGCAATGTATAAAACCACATACTACTGACAAGCTCCTCTTGCTGTGTTCCTCGTGTTTACTGTTCTTCATTTCTCATCTTACTCGTTTTGCACTTGCTGGTGGTGTTCTTAACTATCACTCTGCCCCAGAAATGGCTGGTGTTCAGTTGTGAATGAAGCAGTAGCTTCATGTATTCTTCAAATTACTCTGTTAAGTTTGCAAGGCACTTTGAATCCCACAGGTTGACAGACAAAAAGTAAATATCTAAGTGTGTAATGTTGTTTGTCATTGATAAATGTTATGCACATAAGTGCTATTTGAAAACTCATAATGGACTAAAACTAGACTGTCTTGGGATTTTAGAGTTGGGAGGATGTTCTTACTAAATGTGACTTAAGCAAGCATGGAATCTAGGGTGGTTTTTTGGTCCTACTAGAGTTTAATGGTATTTTTACCAGTGATTTAAATGGATCAGGATTTATCTCAGGATTCTGTAGGCTATTATATAGGCTGTTCGGACATTGCCAACTCTACGCAGTGTTATTTTATAAAGTTGAGTTCTCGTGGATAATATCTAAACCACTGAGTTTGCTGGGATTTTACAGGACAAGAATATTATGGTGTCTTGAAGATCAAGGTCATTTATTAAGAATAGTGTGCTTAATGGTTACAGACTTTTTAATAACAATACCTGAACTTAAAGAATAGAAAACCAAGAAATGTAGTTTATGTAGTAGTTGTTCTCCTTTCTTTAGAATTCAAGGTCAAATGGTGTCTGAAATTACCTGGTGTTTGTGTAGGTTCCCAGAAATCTGAGACCATAGTTTAAAGAAAGTTGCACATCTACTTTTATTAATAGTTTTTAAAGTCTCACGACCAAACTGTTTCTTAAATATATTTGCAGTAGAGTGTTTTCTTACAACCAGTAGTTTTTGTAAAGACAAAATAAGCGTGTGAGAGGAGTATGGATTTGGGTGGTTGTCTTTTTCTAATCCATGTGTTAGAGACCACAGTAAGATGGTGAGCTCTTTCTCTCTGAGCGCATCCTCAAACAAAGGCAAGTTCATGTCTTGCCAAGGGCTGTAGCTCCCCTTCTTCCTAGCTCCAGCCTTTCCTTTGTGCAGTCCTGCTTGTCTCCTTTTTTTGTGGCTAGAATGGGTGAAGGAACCAAAATCAATCTGGAAGATTGCCACTTCCTTGCATCTCTGTATCCCTTCAGAAAGAAGTATAAAGTATTGCTGCTAAGTTCTTTTAATTCGTTACGTTTTGACCACCATGTCTGCTAAACAGTTATTTTCTGTGTGGACAAATCAGCATACAGAGTATGAAAATGCAGATGAATATAAAGATAAAGTTACAATTTTATATTGCATCTTCTCAGTATTGAACACTTCCTCTCTAGTGATTTCAGAGTCCCATTAAAGTTAATGAGAGTTGAGACCTCTGAGCATCTTGCAAGTTCAGGCCATTTCAATGCACAACAGAAAGGAAATGCAAATATTAAAATACTCCTAGCAACCTCACCAGTGTTTTGTAGAGAACTCAATTTATCCTTGGATAAATCTACGTGCGTGCCATCCAAGTCAGTAGGACTAATGGGTCTGTATATGAAAAGTAGAAATTAGCCCTTATGTAAGATTACATTTAGCAGTTTAACAAGGCATCAGCTGTAATTTGCTCTTTATGTGATCAATTAAAATTAATATGTGAATCTTATCTTTTGTATTTCTCAGTACTATAAATATTACAGTGTTAGCACCAAGTGGTACATTATTCAAAAATCTGATTTTAAAGAGAGAACTCCTTACAGGTTTTTTTGCCTTGCTTCTATGATTATTTTTTTTACCAGACTCTGCAGTACTGTGGGTTTTTTATTAGGGGGGAAAAAAAAAAGTCCAAACCCCACCTGCAACACATGGATAAAATTTATTAAAACTACTTAATTGTCAAAAAAGAATATTTGTATCTAAGTAAATTGAAAAGTCTGTTTATTTTGTTAAAATATTTTTCATTCACTAGTGTTTCTTATTAATGTCTATTAATTATCTTGAAACATCCCTTTAGTAGGGGCTAATTATCTATCCATAAAATGTCTGCATTTGAGCTGGAAGGATTCTGAAGCCACACTTCAGCCATCAAAGGGGAAAAAAAAATTGCTTCTCAGAACTAATGTTAATACAGATACAGATTTACATGATCTTCTCTAAACAAAAAAAAAGTTGCTTTTTGAAGAAACCTAACTTGGAAAATTACTTTTTAAAAAAACAACAACAACCCAACAAAAGATATGTTAACAGTACAATGAGAATCTCAGTGCCACCTTAATTGTAGCTTGTTATGAGTATCAGTCTTACACCTCATTCAAAATATTACAAGTTTAATTTAACTTTTTATTGTTATTATTACTTTAAATGTATTAACACAGGAAGCACTTTTAAACTTTAATACACGGTATTCATATATTATGTTTTAATTTGCATTATTCATTAGGATAACGTATCAAATAATCAAAAGCATTTTCTAAGCATTTTGCTAGTGTTATCACTATAAAACTTGGGGAAATCTTGTTTGTTAAAAGAATCTTTTGTGTTTTTTATAAAATAAGATTTGAGCGAGACATTTAAACTAATGAATCAAAATCAGATATGTGGTCATTATTGGCTGATTATTACTCCATCTGCTCTGTGCTAACGTGAAAATCAATTACTGTGTCTCTTTCCCACTGACAGCGTATGTTGATCGGGCTGGCAAGGGATCTTCGAGGGATTGCCTTTGCACTAAACACAAAGACCAGCTACACCATGCTGTTTGACTGGATGTATCCTTATTACACTATGACAATACCAGCTCTGTGCACAGAGGGATACCAGGCCCCTTGCATTAGTTTAATAGTATGGCACAGTGGGGAAGAGGAAACAAAGCTAAATGAACTAATGTGTAATCAGCTAAAATTACAGCACAATGGCAACCATGCAGTTAACTGGGAAGGACCACAGAGAGGTCACTTTTTTGTTGTGTCACACTACTAATCTAGAAAACATATCCAAGCGGTTTTCTTCCCTTCAGAAATCCCTAATGTTTTCATTAAAAAAAGCTGTGTCTTTAAACACAATGTACCTACATTTGGTTTAACATCAAAAGTGCTTAAAAAATACTGTACAAGTGCTGTCTGGGGAGATTTCTCTCTCTGGTATGAATCATGTCTTTAATTTAGTCAGTTACTTTCTATTTATGTCAACTCTATTAATATCACAACACCTGCAGTCTTCCTGATCCAGAAGAAAATGGACATCTGAAAACAAAATCAAAATCTTTAGATTGTAGTTTTCTTCACTAAGTAATGATAATGGAACTCTGTTTGCTTTAAATATTGTATACATTTTTATGCCAACAAATACAATAATAGTCATGGGTATTTTCATAATACTATAGAGAAATCTTTTGTATTTTTATAAATACAGTAGCTGTAATTCTCTCTTCAGTCACACAGTCATATTAGTAACAAGCTGCTGAAGTATCTAGTGAAGTAACAATGAACATTTTTTTTTATAATTTAGATCTCACAAAGTTATGAAAGTTAATTATGTATTTGTTTATTTTATGGATGGAAAAATAATATTCAAGTTATAATTACATACTTTACTAGAAATCAAGCTTTTAAAAATATTTTAAGTAAATAATGAAACCCTACTGTTCACCAGTAATCTTCCTGGTAAGAAAGAGGAATGCGTCAATGTAGAATTGCGACTAGGAAATTAGCCTTGAAGGACTGAAAGGCTGTACAGCAGAGCCTGGTATGATCTGATAGACGTCCTTGTGTGGTGGATAGTAGGATCCCGATCACCATTCAGATAAGCCCTCTTTAAGACCTTTGCAAGCCTGCGGTGATTCTGTCTATGTACAGGCTCAGTGTGCAGAAAGTAAGTTCAAAACATAAAGCAGTGTAATCTTTATTTCTCTTAAAATCAGGGAAAACTTCCCTTAATTTCAGTTTTAGAGGACTGGGGGGGGAACCAAAACAAAACAAAAAAAACCTACTGAAGGCAGACTATGAATTAGCATCTCATTTTCTAGTGGGCACGGTTGGGTACATTTAACTTCGTTAGTACTGTTTGTGCTTGTGTTACCCTAAAACTTAATAATAAAATCAGGAAGATGTGTAAAAGCAGATCAGTGCTGCTTCCATTTCAAATTTGTTTTTCCTAGTATAGCATGAGTATCATGCTCTTCTCCTGTGCAGAACTGCAAATCTCCAGTTGCAGGAGGAGGCATAACAGACGCTTACCTCCTCTCCATTTGAAAGAAATGGATTCATCCATGGGGGTGGTTTTTTATACAAGGATCCAGGATATGTAATTCTTGGGACCCTTTCCTGATTTTTTTTTTTTTAATTAATTTATTCCTTCCAGTTTATGAATTAAATTTATTTCAAATAAATAAAAACAGCTTCCAAGTTTTGGCTTTCATTATTCTGTATTAACAATAAAAATAGATTGAAATCTAATTTTGTGTGGAATTCAAAGCTCAGGCCTTCTCAGTTTCTTTTCCCTTGCACAGGTTCAGAAATTTTTTTCTTCCTCACCTTTGGCTGTAAAGGATAAGTGCATGCTTCTGTTCAGTGGATTTCACCTCATTTGGCTGAGTCCAGCTTCATCCAGGTATTGATCCGAAGCATTATGGCGAAATAAGCTGCTATTAGCACAGCTCTTATTTACTGTATATAAAGACAGAAAGGTAAATGTGAGAAGGGAGGGTCAGATGCCTATTTTATCATAGAAAATTTAATTATCCTTTAATTAACATATTTCTTTCGTAGTTTCAAATTTATCATCAGAATATGGTTTTAATAGCAAAGAAAAGCTGTTTTTCAAACAGATTTTATTCTGTTATGTTTGAAGCCGTAGTATTTCAATATTGAATATGGCAAATACAGAATATCAGCCAAAATAAGTCTGATTTACTTGCATTTGTTCAATAAATAAACAATACAAAGAGGCAAGGGATAGAAGGCTAAGCTTTTAATATACCATAAGATGATGTTTATTCTGTATTGAAGACTATCCGAAATAGTCACTTGTAAGTCGTTGGTAGAAGAATGTATTTATAAACTTTTCAAGTGATTGTGGGAAATATTTTGGGTCTAAGCACTGTCCATAACAAACCAAATTACACTCTGTAATCTCTTACCTGAAAGATTTTTTTTTTTCCCTGATCGCAGTGTTTAGGATTTAAGTTTTGTCCAGTAGATGGCAAAAATGAGCAGAAATAATTTCTTTTCAATCCTTTTCGTCCAGGGAGGGGAGGGGTCAGGCACGGGGGACCCCGTTGTATCTTGTATTTTACCATTATGATTGAGTTATTAGGATCATGGTTTAGAGGTGAATCGTCAGGTATGCTGAAGATGCGCTACATTGCCAAATAGGGCTGTTTTGTAGCAGGCTTGCTTATACTAATTGAGTTTCTCTAGCAAATCAGGCTCCTTGGAAAAAGGCCAAAGGCTTTTCATAATTGTATTGACAAGAAAATGAATATGATAAATGGTGTTCATTCAGCTGAGACAAGATTTATAGTTTTCCTCTGGCAAGGGATGAAGAGAAAATACTTATAATAATAGTAAAATTTGTTTTAAAGTTATATTAGGTGATCTCTCAAAAGACTTCATTAAAGTATTTCCAAATATTTTAAGCAGCTTCAGGTGTTAAGTACAGCATCTTCCCAAAGTATCCGGTAATGAAAGTTAAAGAAAAACATCACACAAACAAACAAACAAAACAAAATAAAAAACCCAAAACCTTGGATATGAAAGTCATTTATTCTTCCTGAAATATTGATATGTCAAGCTGTCAATGATGATTCCAGTACCACAGCTTTGGAAAGTTTATTTGCCTTTTGTATTCATAACATATGGTCTCTCTAGTTTGTAGGTCAATCCTGAACATGCAGGTGTGGCATGAAAAAAACTGTATACCAATTTGAGTAGAATCAAAACCTGTTTTTCTTAACGGTGATGATTCTCCTTCGTATTTCATTCTGCTGTTTATTTCAAGACTGCCTGGATAAGATGTTGAATGTTTAATCTATTTTCTTCCATACTAATATCAGACTGCAGTCTAAGGTCCTTGGTCTCGCAGCCAGATACATCCATGGAGATTCAATTGTGAGTTCAGGCTAATATCCACTTTTTTGTTACTTTCATTTAGTGTTTCTTACAGTTAGGTGGTACCCCATAGGCAATTTCTCCTGTGTTCCTCCCAGTTGATTCTCAGTATTTAATGACTTCTGTTGTCTGTAAAAGAAAAAGGTTGCAATAAGAAAATGGGTTGCAAGAATTAAATTATTAAGTTGACTCAGAGTTGTAGTCAGCCAGATAGCACACGATGTATATGCGTGAGTGCATGAAATTGCCAATATAAAGACATCTATGTGTATAGATACGTAGACACTATGTTTATAGAAAAGTGATCTACCATTGGGATGTTTTACCTAGTGGTCATTTCACAGTTCCAGTTGACCTAGATAATTTGGATGTCTCATCGTATGCTGCTTCAGATGTGGATCACTAGAACAAGCAAAACACTATATTCACCCAACTATCATTGCTACATGTTTATCCAAATTCGTATTGTTATTTTTTAACAAAATAAAACTATGGGCAGCAATAAGACAGCTTGTTCAAAATTACTCTGGCTTTGAATAACTAAATTTTTAAGTTTATATGTTTGAAGGATTCAGGATTAGATACAAACTTGAAAGAGCCAAACAGCTGTAGAGATTGAAGTTTCCTAATCATGAGAGGAGAATGCATTTTCTCATGAAACAAGGCTACCTGATCGGTAATCTGTTTGTAATAGCTGTTATTGCCAGTTGCATTGATTCAAACCTCAGTATCATTTTTTGCAGTTTGAATTCCTTTGAGCTTGAACTGACTGGACAGGTTAAGTTCATGACTTAGCCAGATTCCTTGAAGCTTGTGGTTAAAAACACTTAAAAATAATATTCTGTTTAAAAGCAATTCATTGCGCTTTATTGGATTTATAAAAGAAACAATAAATTGCTGAAACCTTTCTGTTGACCCTAGCTTTTACAAAATTTGACTGTAGTTTCCAGTCTTTCCTTGTCAACGAATATGGACTCAATGCTTAAGTTTTTGAATTAAGATAGCTAATCATATTGGTTGTATTAGCAGCCTTTGATACTGCTGACTTACATTTTGGTTGTAGGGTTTAGCTGTCAAGTTACTCTCTTCGCCATGAAATCTGGAAAGGCAATTGTTTTCTGCCCCATTAGATTCCACAATGGGGCTTTGCAGCATTGCACCGTCTCCCTTTTGTGTACTTGGGGCTATTAGGAAGGCTAAGGAAGAGGCATGACTGAGGAAAATTAATAGCACAGCTCAGTTCTGTACCTTTCATGACAGTCTGCTGCATCTTGAGAATATTGACCATCCTCTATTGAGAGTGAGCTGGTTTGGAAGTCCACCTCAGAAAAAATGGAACTGACATTAGTGAATTTTTAAAGGTAGGAGATGGCATGGATCATCTATGCCCTTTGAGGATGTTTTAAGCAAGTGAGATTTGAATTTAAATCCCAGTTTATTATTGGATAACTCTCCATGGTATGTTTAACTCTGGTTTGTTTGATTTAAAATGTAAAGAAACCCATAAAGGAGCCAGAAGCAAAGTCTGAAAGTATATTTCACGTCAGCCTCTTCCGCTATATATAGTTTATGCCTGCAGTGCCTCAAGCAGCTGGCAGCAAAAATGCACAAGTCTTTAGATGCCTCAGACAGACAGCAGTAGCCAGAATGCCTTCCATCTGTCTGCACAGCGCTGTCATTCATCAGTAGTGCTATGTCTGATGGCTTTAGCCTCCACCAGAAGAGCTGTATCGAACTGAGACATGGCTGTGTCTACATAGCCTAGAAGCGTGTAAACCTTTATGTATTTCAGACTTTTATTTCACAATCCCATGTTGAGTGCTTGACCTGTATTCTACTTTGTAAGATTCACAATAGTTGCATTTATTGTCTGAATAGGCAATAGCATTTTCCTAAGAACAGTTGCTTTTTCTCGTGTGGTTAAATAAAGCAGAATTATATGACATGAAACAAAGTTAAAAATGAAAAATACGTTTATTATTAAACAAAACCACTGACTACACTAACTAGATCATGTTTTAATAGAAAACTGTATGGTTAAAATCTCTTGGTTCAATATAAAAAAAACCTGTTTAATTCTTTGCCAGTCAAGCTGTGCTACCTCATTTCCATTTGCCAGTCTGCATTCTTACCCAAATAAATGCTTTTTTTCAGCATGTTGGGAAAACTCGGGGTCAGCTTTGTATCAAATCGTTGCATGAAGTATTTTGATACAGTCAGTAACTCATAAGATTATTGGTTTTTAAGTTGCATTGCAGAGTCTACTAAACTTATTTTTTTCTGTATTGCGTTCTTTGAAATCCTGCTTTAAAAGAACAGATACCTCTTGGGTGCTGATGAGCAAATAGCTCTCCTGAAAGAGTTCTTAGAAACCTAACTTTGCTAGTCTCCCAGACACAGTTTGGCTGAATTCTCTTCTTGAATGCTCTGGAAAAAACTTCATACAGTCAAATTGTTCACAACCATTTATATAGAAAATACAACATACATGAGGTGGCACTGAGATTTGGGGCCCAGGATTTGTTAATACGTACATTTGTGGTGTTTTTAAATTAAATTGCCATTTGTGACTTTGGCCATTCACTAAAAATCCAAGCTCATTTTATATATGTACTCATAGGTTAGCTGCACATACAAACTGCTTTCCTTTTCCTTCATTACAGCTCTGGTATATTAACTATTTCCTACTTAAACATTAATGTTTCCAGCTGTCTTCTAAGCGGAGACTTGCTGAAATTTATAGGTTCTGGCAGTGCCTCTGTCGGAATGGACTGGCAAGGTCTGGGCCTGGCCCACCCACCTAATGGTGTAGTGCAGTTTTAGGGGTGGTTGTTTTGCAAGATGTTATTTTATCAGTATACTCTTTAACTCAGTGTGCTGAAGATACCCTGCATACATTTCTGTTCTGCAAAGAGCTATTGAACTGTGGTACCGTGAACCTGCGTGTACAACCCCTATCTTGAAGCTGATGGCAGAATTCATGCAAAACAGGTAAGGAGCACGTGAAAATTAGGTAAGTGATGAATACTGCCATGGTATGCATTCTCTGTTCCACCTTGCTATGTTTTCTTATCTGCATGATGTCTGATGTTGACTTGAGTGCTACTTTTGTATTTTGGAACAAAATTCACAAGCAGAACTCAGCTTTCAGTGTTATTGTATTGTTTTACCAAGATGGTAGATGTTACAAAATCAGCTGGTAAGGATTAATTACAGGAATATATGTGAGAGACTACTGTGATTTTATATTCAGTGGAAGTGTATGGTTTAACTAGGGATAAATACTGACTCTATAGTTAAATACCAGAAAATTGTCTGCTGTCAAGATTTACTGCAGGCTGAATTTTTGCCTTAAGCCAAGCAGCATACATATGTGCCTATACAACCACAACTCCCTTTACAGTTTCTTTTGCAACTCAGTTCTTCCAGCCAAAATAGGAAAGAATGGTATCTAATACAGCAGTATTTATAATCAACATGTAGGTAACTTCTCCCACACCTAAAATCTTATCAATGGACTAACCTAAAAGGCCTCAAAATGATTCTGGGAGGTGATTTCAATACTTGACATTGCAGCAGTTAGAACGAAAATCCTGTCTTACCACAAGTAACAGAACAATTTCTTTTGGAAAATTATCATTACACTTGGAAATATTTAGTGCACTGCCCAAAGGAAAAAAAGATTTTTAAATGAAAAAATTACCGTTAAAGTCTCTCTGCTGGATATCTTCATGACCAAAGTAAGTAGAGTTTTCAGCGAAGTAGTACGTGTTCTCATAATTTCTCATTTTGCCTTGCAAATCAAACTTACAAGGAAAAAGGTTGAAATATTTGAAATTTGAAAAAAATATTTAGTTTCAGCTAGTGACAGGAAATTGGTGCCTTAACGTTCGGACCTGGCTCCCGGTCAAACACTAGTGTGTAGGATGTGCACTTAATCTCTGAATGGCTACGCAAGCCTTAAGGCAGAGTTCCCTGTTTCTTTGCATGTGTTGACTTGCTTGCTGTGACTCCCGCTTTGGTTTGTGTAGGCTAATTATGTCTTTTATCCTGGTAGTAGTATAATAAATTGCTGGAAAAGTTTAACCTATTTTTATTCATGATGTAATGCAAAAGCAGCATACTCTAATAGTGCTGCGACTTATTTCAAGGAAGAGATTGTTAAAAGCCTAAACACAGAACTCTAATAACAGTAAACAAAAGCAAAGAGGACCTGGAACAATAAATGTTATGCAAAAGACAGCTCTTCAAGCTACTTTCCATATTCATGTTATTCTTCTACCTATTGCTATTCAGAAAATCTGCCTTGTTCCCTTTAGAAAACATCATCTGGGATGGTGTTTTTTTCACGAGTTGTGTACTGCATTAGCTTTTACAGGTTAGAATGCATTATACAATGTACTTTGACATGGTTAAAATCTGTTACAGAGTATCAGGTTGTGCATTATGCCACTCCAACACTGAGATGATGTGCTGGTTTGGGGTTTTTTGCCTCTGCCAGCCATTATCATTTTGTGCATATGGAATACACAGATGTTTTATACAAGGCACGTTTTATTTATTTATAAACAGTCAGATTTACTCCAGACCTTGCAGCAAAGGACCCTGCAAATAGGGACTCAGACAAGAATAAATTGGGACTTGCAGCAGAGACAGATACCTACTACTGTCTCTGTGATAGGGGTCGTACAAGGACTCCTAATTTGATCAAAAGTGGATGACTACCAAACAGGTCAGCCAGGGGATACTCTGGTTTTCATCACTCAGTGATGACTCCTTTCCCTTTCAGTCCAAATAAACACTACGGGTAAGTTAATGCTAAAGTTACTTAGAAGCTTAAGACCTGTATTTGAAGTTAACCGTTAGGCCTGAACTAGGAGTTAGGCGTCTTTATCACAAAGACAAATTGGAAAGATGCAACAGGGACTTCGGCAAGGACTCTGTTGCGTTTCCAGATTGGGAACAAAGTGGTTCTTGTTGGCTTTACCTGTGCATCAGGGACGATGACAACATGGTGCAATCTTCTTCAGGTCTGAATGTCCACAAAAAGCACGTGTTACAATTTACAGTCAGAGAACTGGCTTGTGATTGCCATAGCTTTTACATAGCAGAATAACCAGTGGGGATTAGTGTCTTTTTAAAAGCCATACAGATGCAGAAGCAGGGTAAAACTTAGCCTAACCACTTGGATTATGGAACCTTTGTAGCATTCTTCTGAACTGGATACAGGCACAAGATGTTCACCAGTCACTGAAAGCTGTGTATGTATTGTCTGGTCACCTTTTTTGGTTAAAATTGTTCTGTCTTTTGTCATAGGATTATTTCTTTGGCAACATATAGAGATAACTAGAGTGCATATCATTGGACTGAAAGCTAGAATTAGTTTATCAAATAATTGTACTTTGTAATCAGCGAATGTTTTTTTTGTTTTAGGAATGAATCCATTGCAGTTTTCTACTTCGATGACCATCTGAATATTTTTGCTGTTATTTTTTAGATCGCAGCGTTTAAATTTTGATGTATCATCTCCAAATGGAATTCTTCTCTTCAGAGAAGCTAGTAAAATGATTTGTACGTATGGTAGGTATTCATTAATGTTTCCTCTGCAGTGTAATTCTTTGCCTGTCTTGTGATATAAAAATCCTGTTAGTTCATATTCCTCAGCACCGATGGGTTTGTGGAATACGTAGCAGGATTGTATGTGCTACAGTCAGTGTCATCCCTTTGTAGAGTGCAGAGCTTACGTGGCAGGCCTTTGGAGCTCATTTACTTTCATAGATCAGGGTTCATTTGTGTAGCATGGTTGCTTCTATCGCTTTTTTAACTTGAATGCCTGTCTGATAGCAACTGTAAATATATTTCAGCAAAGATACAAATACTCATGAGGTGTTTGATCTAGGCTACTGATTGATACATGTGGCTTCATTTTATGTATTCAAATTATGTTCCAGCAGTTCCAAAACATAATAGGACCATAACAGCTTTACCCTAGAGCGCTGTTAAAAGTGTTTATAATAAGTTGCTCTATTTTACTACTCCCACTCATGCATGCAACTGCAACAGGTCTTTGACACCAACAGTTTTATATTACACTCCAGCTAACTTTGTAGCTTACAATTTTGCTTTGTAAGTATTTTGAAAGGAACTTTACCATGTTGTTTGTAGAGCAACCTCATTTGCAGTTTCTTTAAACAGGAAGAGCCATAAATGTCCTGTTTCTTTTAAAGAAAGAAAATTGGTGTGTTGAATTTGCTCTTACTGCATTCAGATTGCTTTTTGGATCTGGAAACTGTGCATTACATGGCTGCCTGTATAAAAAGCTTGAAATGTAATTTTGCATTTGATCTGTAGGGCATGGAAACAATATATACAGAATGCATAAAGCATTTAATTATGACAGAAAAAATTACACCCAAGTAACTTTCAGTCCTTGCAAATTCATTTGTCTGTTTCTTTTTCAAATATACCATGTAGTAAGCTAACACATTTTTTCACCTATGTTCTTAAGTAAATTTGTTAGAACAATTAAGCAAAATAAAAATAAGGTTTTCCATGTATGAAAAGATAAAAGGTAAACTTTTAGATTTTACTACTCATTTTCTGTTAGCTTTTGTACTTAATTGCTGTAAGCTTTCTTTTGATGATTTAAAAAATCAAGTGTAGTCATGGTGATGCTTCAACCCTACTTGTCTTGTGGTACCTGATCCCATTGCAGTTATAACTTCCTTTTAAAATATTTTTTTGAAAATTTCAGTCAGCCTTTACCATCCTTTCTGCACTTATTAAAAACATACCATATTATTGGGCATTCATTCATCTCTGTTGTTGGTATCAGGATTCTAAACCATGCTGAGTAACCCACAGTAGTTGGTTTCAACCTGCTTCATGCCTAAAAAAAGAACTTGGTGAAGAATCCTTTTGCTTTCAGTTGCAGCTTTAATGGTGTATGTGCAGTTCATAAAATTCTCAGCCCTAAAGTATTGGTAGCTCTTGCACATAAGGACCAAACAACATTTTCTAGCTCATGCTAGAATTTAATTATGCAACGTAAAAGGAAATTTCAAGACAGTGCAGATCTAAGATTTAAAACTAAGCAGTGGAGCCATAGAGCCTGTTGAAGCCTGTGTCCAAACACCTGTTGCCCTCTTTGTTAAATGATGTGAAAGATACTTAGGGATGTGTGCCATCTGTGTGGAGATGTGTGCCATAGGAAGAAGTGAAGTGACCATAAGAGCTTTCTCTCACGCTTCTCTTCCATGTCTTTCGTACCTGTTTTCCTATGGAAGGATGGTGTTTTACTCAACACAGGTTTAAGAGGAGAACTGTTCTTCATGTCCTCCAAAAGAAAAATTTAAAATCACCTATCAACTAAAAGTGGAGGAAAGACATAGGTATGGGGGGGAGCCTCCACTCAATATATGTATGTATTTTTTTTTAATTTTGCTTTTAAAACACATTGATATTATCATCAGTGTCTGAAAGGGTCCCATCAGTGATCTTTCCACTACTTAGGTGTGACATTTAGAGGAACTGTTTAGGTTTTCTTTTCTGTGAGTGATTGCCAATATTTATTCCGGGACTGGACTCACTACAGAGCCAACATGAGAGACCTCCCAGTGCAGTTGTCTGAATTGGCCACTTAGAGGAGAGATTTCAAATAATCCAGCTGGCTCTGCACTGGCACAGATGGGCAGCACTGGCCTGGCCATCGCCATGGCTCAGCTGTGGGCACTGTAATAAACATCCCCGATTAGTGCTATTTCAAACTGCTACAGCTATTTCTGAAGTGGTCACTGGCTTACAGTCTGGGAAGGTTTTACTGCCCACTGTAACTGTTTGAAGATACTACAATTAATCAGCTTTGAATAATTGCTGTTAACATTTTTAGCTTTTATTGCCAGTTACTAGCTTATGAGTTTCCATTCCAGTGTACAGAAAGAGAAAACTCTTCTGGAAATGTGTTGTAAGGATTCATTGTTTTAGTTATGTATGATCTTTTGAACATACAAATTTCTATAAAAATAATGATATTAAGGGATTTTGCATTAATTTCAAATGCCTTCCTGAAAATCTCAATAATTGTGCTTGTAAGGAAAACTTTAATCCGTAATATTCTATGACTGGTTTTTAAGTGTATTTGTCTTTTAAGCATATATAATCTTGGCAGACATCTGGGGAATAATAAAAAAGTAAACCAAGTGATGATCATAAAATTCACTTTGGTGTCCTTGAGCAATGTTTCCAGCCCCACATTCTGAAAAAATGTGTGATTCAGTTAAAAGAATAACTATGTACATGCCTTCTAATCCTTGGGCTCAGTTTTCAGGTTTTCTGCTGTACTATTACTGCAAGTAACTTAAAATTCTGAAAATAGTTGAGATTCTCACATTCCGCATCATTTTATGGCTGAAGCATATGAGACAAAAATAGAAGACAGAGCAAATGTCAACAGACAACAATCGAGAGTATATGCTCATTTATCTTACCAAGTCAACCAAACCTCTTGTATATGCCTGCAGCTTATAGTGAGCTCCTCAAAGCTGATCCAAAAGACACTTGAAACTCAAGATAGATTTGATTGAAATCTATACTATAATGATTGCCTTTTTAAACTGAGGGAAACACAAAGAAGATGCACGAGACGGAGGGGGGAAAATAGAAGCAAACATCTCCTTCTTTCATCACACTGTCGTTGTGGGAAGATCCTTCCTTTCAGTCTCAGTTTCGGTTAATCCATTGACCGAGTGGGTTGCCATAAACTCTACCCAGCCCCCTCTCATCCCTGAGGAGTTCTTTTTTCCATCACCTGGAGACCTGGCTGTATTTGCTCCTCTTGGCAATCTCTGTCTGAACATCTGGCTTCCAACTCTCCTTGTTACTTCTCATCTCTCTTCCTTGCCATGCCCTTGACAGTGAGACTTTCCTTCCCATAGTTCAGCAGCTCTCCAGGGAGAGACTTGGTCCCTCTCCTGCAGATGCTGCAGCCTAGCCTGGTTGCTCCTTTTTCTTAGAAGAATATAATACACAAACAATACATGAAAATATGGCTTAATTGTATGTTAATGTATTATGTATTAATATAAATGTATCCATTGGTAAATGAAATTTAAATTTGTTTTAGAACAGGATTTTTCCTTCTTCTCTTTCACATGTAATGATACAAAGAAAATGCTGATAAAAGTATTATTTTCAGAAATTTCACCTGCACCAAATTAAACACAAAAATTTCCAGTTATGACTTGGGTCCACTGGGAATCTTCTTGCTATATAAACCTATAGGTACATAAAAATGGGATCTGAAATACGTCTCTGTCCTGTCAACGCTTAGACAAGGAATTAGTAGCTGAAGTGAGGTGGCATCAGGTGATTCTTCTCACCAAGGTCAGAGCACAGTGCACTGGTGATTACTGACATAATGTTGATTTTTCCTAAGTCTGGACTACACTGATTGAAGCAGTTTTAACACACAAATATTTTGTAAATATGGCCTTCTTCAGGTGATGAAAATCATCTAAAATTTATATGTGTATTTGTTTTGTGTAAACCTTGTACTGTTGTTTACATGGGAATAACTTTGAAACAAACATTTGGTAACCTAGCATGTCGCTTCCTTTCCATCTTCAATTTTGCGAAAGTTTGTGATGTCCGTTTATGTCCGAATGGTACCTCCATTTACTGTGTATATGTAGTGGAAGATCTGTGCTCAGGCTAAAAATAAAAGGGGGAAGAAAGGAGTAGAACTGTGTTTCTGGGGTATGAATGTACGTGAACGCTTGTGAGTATGGATGCTGCAATCTCTTTAATTCTAGACTAAAGCGTATACTGGCGTATAGTGATTTCATATGTTTGAGTGCAAAGCAGAAAAACATCCAAAATGCCTGTTCTTAAGATATGCTAGGCATCTTCAGTTGTCAGTGAATAAGATTTAAAATATGAATTATTTGTAGTTTTGAAAATGAGCACCTCAGTGAGTGTTTAATTCTACTTAACAGATCCGGCTTTGTGATGAGGGTAGTACTAGCGTGCCCTGTCCTTCTGCTCATTTATCAGATACAGCGCTGAAGACAATTCTAAGACATCTTTACAAATGCTGTATGTTCAAAAGATGTAAAGCCTGGCGTAGGATGCACTTAGATAGTCAATTATCCTTGTTAGGGCTCTGCAGCTGCTTGGCAAGGGGTGTTGTGTCTTGTCCATTATGGCTAGAGCCAGTCTGACTGAGTGCTAGAGTGATTTAAAATAAACAACTGAGAGGAGAAAATTGAAAGGAGTTGGAATAGTATAGTCTGCCATTCTTCATCCCCAATATATTTCACTTTTAATTCTCTGTGTACAAGTCTCCTTACTGTGTGTTTTTGAACTCCCGATTGTATAGGAATGATGTTTCAATGCATCTTGGGACCATCTATTTTTGTTTTGTGGTTTCTTTACATTTTAGTAAACCTCTTCCCTTTCATTATAGGAGGCTGACATAAAAATAATATTTTCAATATGCTGTTTTTATTTATCTACATTCTGTCATGATATACTTTGATGTAAGTTTTTAATTTTGCTTCAGCTTTCAGCTGTTGAGGCAGTTACTGCTCAAGGTCAGTGATGAGGTTAGCCACAGTAGCACAAAACAATTTCCTGTTCTCACAGCCCAGGTAGCATTTGGATGTGGATTAAATTTTACCACATTTTCCAGTAGCCAGACACAATTATTTCTAATGAGCTTTAAATTGCTTCCAGAACATGTATTTCAAAACTTAGTGTGGTAATCTATTCAGTGCCAGCAACTTCATAAGATAGCAGTTCTTCTTCAAAATTTTGGTTCAACTGATTCTTGCTGTATAACAGGTATTTCTAATCAGCAGCTTAGCTTAAAAGTGGAGTGCTGACTGGTCTCAGTTGCCGTTGGTCTGCTCTCCTCTCTTTTGTGATAGTGGTTCCAGAATATATTGTTCGTCATTACTCACTCAGATTTCATAATCGGTTTCTTTTGGCAAATTTATCTTGGTGCTGTGCATGCTTGTTTTGCTGATTTGAGAGGTTTTATGTGTGTTTTGTTGTCGTGGAAGCTTTAAAAACATCAGTTTTTGAAGCTCACTCTCGTCGTTATGATTCACGTTTTCCTTTTTGTTTTCTGTATATGGCCACTTCTTTATACTGCCCTAGCATTCTGAATGCCTGGAAAGCACACATTCAAAACTATCTTTATGGGGCAGTGGTGAATAATAAAAATAGGAAAGGGGAAAAGGTAAAAAACACTTTTTCTCTATAAATATGATAAATTTTCACAGCCTTTGTTTAATCTCACCAAAGTCTTTTTTTTTAATCTTCATCTAGTCCACACATGTTAAAACATGATTTAGTTGTATTATTATAGATAGTGCTTATTGGCCTGAAATCTAGAACAAGCCCTGCTTAAATGAAACTCAGCCATAAGGAAATCATTTTTGTATTATAGCTTCTACTCTAAAAGCAATTAAGGAGGAGAACTGAAAGGGAAGCTGCCTGTCCTGACATGCTCCCGCATCTAGGAGGGAGTGAGGGAATGAGCTGTGCAAAGAGCTCTGGTGCGTATTGCCTGTGGGATTCTGAGGCATGGTGATGTTATCTTCGGTCAGAGCATCCCAGTTTGGTTTTTTGCTGGCTTTGTATTCCCCCTCTGCATACGTAGACTTTTTTCTTCCAGCTCCTTTGTTTATGTACTAAGGGGTATTTCGGTAATGAAATGCTTAAATTGTCAGCCAAATTCAAGCTCGCTCTTCCTATCCAGCAGTTTCACCCAGTATCTTTAAGAATCCTTTTCTTATTCCCATCAGAATTTCGTATCGCCTCTGAGGCTCAGAGAGTTTATAATTTTTGTAAGTGACATTGCTGTGAAATGCAGGGCAAAAAGTTGTATTAAAGGAAATTATTGAGAATTTTGAAAGTCAGTATATTTTAAGATTGTGTGATACAATTTCTCCCACATTAAGAAGAAATTGCTGCAAGTTGGATTTTTTTTCATTTGATTTTTAACTCAGTAGTAACACTGAAACTTCACTGATTAGTCTCTACAGAGTTTTCATTTTGACAGGAGCTATGAATTTCAAACACAATTTTTAAATTCAGCATGTCGAAGGTCACTTTTATGTTGATTTAATTTCTTTAAATTGTTTCTTTTAACAATAGGAGGTTATAAAATTGTATTTTGGTCCTCCGCTACAGGGATTATAAATGTAAGCATATCCTCCATAGCTGAAGAGTTGTTCTTGACCTGATTCCAAGCACCTCAGTAAATTAGTTTATGTTCAGTAGTATCCATGGTGTGTAAAAATATTCCCCTGAAACTTCCGCTAAATGTTACAAGTAGATCATTCTTTTTTTATCTAGTCAGGCATAGCACCGTAGTTCATATTTTTTTCAATAACTAATGCTAAAACACTAGTCTTTGTTCTAGCACTGCATCCCTTGAATCATAGACTGATGGCTTGGGGCATTGGTAACAGGCACTGCGTGGTCTTTCACCTCTGCTGCTAATTTGAAATCAGCTGTTCCCACTCTTAGACCCTTTTAAAATGAGCCCATGAACATAGCACAGTTCTCTGTGGACTCTCTCCAGTTGTAAAAAGCAGCTTTTAATCTTGCACTAGACCCAAATTCTCAGTGTTTTCATTAGAAGGGATAGGCACCAAGTTCCCCTTCTGCCATGCCTGCCCGGAGTGAGGCAGTGGGAGGGAGCAGGGGTTGTGCCTTCCTGTAGTGAACGCTTTATGCTGAGCAATACAGTTAAAGTTTTAATTATAGGGAGGTTTTTTTTTGTGAAGTAATAAAAATTATAGATCAGCACTGGTGGTTACCTCCTAAAATTCATGTTCCCAGACAAAGGGATTCCTAGGGTTTTTCCAACTTCCTTCCTCATCATCCGTTTTTTCCATCGACTTCCAATTAATTTCCATATTAAGTACATAATTGCCTCATTGACAACTACTAAGCTCTTTCCATCTGTTGTTGCATATTATACTGAGTACTTCAAGGACCTAGGATTGCACAATGTTGTGCTTGGACAGCTCAGCTATAAACTCAAGGCTGTTACCTTCCTGGATCCAGAACTTTGTCTTTGCTTATTTCTGAAGTCAGATATATATTTGTGTTATTAAAGTAAGAGATTTTCAGAAGAGAATTTAATAGTGGAGAAGACCAGATAAGGTTAGTTTACAGAACACTTACCTTTCTGTCTTGTTTTTGCCCTAAGAATTGTACACTGTTTACATAGTGGCTTTCAAAAATAGTGTGTACCTTCCCACTTTCTTTCAAAGACAGATTTTTGTATTTAATTTTTTTTCTCACATAATTTGAAATTCACTGATCTTCTCAGTAACTAGAGTAGGTCTTGTCAAAAAGATCAATGCTAATTAAGATGACCTGGCTGGGATATCTTAAATGGGGCACTGTAGGAAGCTAAATGGAGTTTATCTTTAATTATATGTAAATGTAGTTTCTCAGTAATGTAAAGTATTACAATAAATGAATATCCGGGTACACTAGAAGGCATTCTTCTTCTTCTTCTACTATGTTTTACTTTTCAAAGTGGATCTTTTGGATAGCGGTCATTTTTAGTATAACAGAGATTTAACACCGTTTAGAATTAATTTCTGTGCGCTAGCGGTCACTGGAATTGTACCTTCTTCCCCAGATACACTGTGTTCATGACTACAGCACTCGCGGTAATAGAGGTGCTCATATGACTGTTTACAGTATCAAAACCATTCTGTATTTTCATTCAGAATTTTTTTTTTTAATTAAGAGGGCTTGATTTTTTTTATTGTAAGTGGCCATCTTCCCTAGCTAAATATTTGATTCTTCTCTTCCCTCCCATAATTCTAGTGACACCATTCCAGCTTCTTAGAGACCCCAGTTACTACTTCTAAGCAATCTCTGATCATACTGGCAGTCTTTTTTTTGTAAATCTACTTTTCCTTTGCAACCTGATGGATAAATTGCCTTGTACTTGCTAGGAGTAGTGAAAAATGTTAATGTTTTAAACAGTAACTTACACCTTTCCCTCTTTGCATCAAATGAGAGTAAATGAGTGATACTTTGACGCGTTGGGTGTCCAGAAACAAGGTTTTCCCCCCCATTTTTCTAATTATATGATGTAAATTCCTCATTGTCAGTAATCAATAGCATTAAGAGAATGAATTAAAATAAGGCAGGTGTATGATTTGCAGGTGGGCATTTGCATGGGTAGAAAGGAGAGCTGTGTAGAGACAGACCCCGTTTAATACTAAGCCTCAATGTGTATTAAACAGTACTACAAAATCTATGACACAATCTGTGTCATCTCAGGCAAGTTTTTAGTGGCATTTTTTAATTGCCTATTGTAAAAGCAAAACTGAGTTGTCATAACTACATCTCTCAACTGGCAGTGTTTGGAATTGTGAATAGTTAATGTCCAGTTTGCTCGTTGCTCCTTGATCGAAGTCGTCATCATAGCCATGACAGCTAGATTAGACACTGAAAGCAGGCGACCCGAGCATCTGATCTGTAGACTGTTGTGCTTTTATTTGTAGGAATATTTTTTTAAATGTACAGTTTTGTGTTATTTTCCTCTAGTTAAAATTACCAAGAATAATGAGTAGTAACAAAGTTACTTGGGTTTTGTGCAGTCCAAGCTTGTCAAGGTTAATGTCAGATGGGGTCAACCTAGTAAGGCTACTTAATGGTAGAACTGAAGTACTTAGTCTTTGCTGTGTTCATTCTACTGTCATCAATTACTTCAGGTTAAAAAAAAAAAATTGTCATGAAGACAAACCAACTCTAGGGTGCTGTGAAGATGAGCATTAAATTATTACAAGATACTTAGAAAACTTGGTAATGAGGCTTTGTGAATAATTGGACTTGTACAGAGGATTGCAGTGGGATCTACTGCACTGCTGCACAGTGGATCCAAAAGTCACTATTGCCTGTTAATAGCAACAGCAAATATTTACCGTTAGCTGTTATTTTTACATTATAAACATGGAGTTTAATTAAAGAGTCATTCCCATCTGTGACTGGTAAAATAGAGGCTTTTGTAATGGACACATTTGTTTTCGGAGGGATATATTTAGTGTGTGTATACATCAGCAACCATCCCAAGAGACTGTCATGGTAATGGATCAAAACCAGGCTTTGCTGCAGCATGAGAAACTATAAAACCATGTGTTGCAACTGTGTTCAGATTAAGGAATTCATGCTGATGTACCCAGTCATGGTCTGGCTGTATATCAATGATGGGAATTCCATAGCTTATATTTTAAATTTTGCGTGCTAATTCCTTAGTGGCTTTTAAGCTCTAGTCATGCTTACTTAATAGATCTTTTACTTAAAATGCAGAAACAATTTTTCTTCCAAATAGCAATGAAAATAAAGACAAAAAATGAGTTTAGATAGTGCCATCAAAATATTTTAGATTTACAGCTGCTTACATAAGTTTCTTTCTTTCTTTCTTTTTATGAAAACAGGTAATCAGATCCTCTCTCTTGGGACTTTGTCAAAAGATCAGGTTTATCCGTTGAAACTCAAGGGCATTTCCATCTGTTACTCTGCACTCAAATCTGCCTTATGTGGAAATTATGTCAGCTTTGGCGTCTTCAAGTTGTACGGGGACAACCACTTTGACAATGTACTTCAGGCCTTTGTCAAAATGCTGCTTTCAGTATCCCACAGTGACTTGCTAGTAAGCAATTACTCATCTTGGGAGTCTTTACGTGAAATATGAAATAACACCACCACAGGCTTTGTATTGTTACAATGAGACAGAGCGATCTAGAACAGCCCAAATGCAGTTTTCAGTTCAATTACTTGAATTTATTCTGTAGTGACATCTAAAATACAGGTATGACTGAACTGCCATGTGAAACAGGAGCTTTTTTAGAATTTTCACTAGGCTGGTCATAAGAGAGAGAAATGCAAAATTTTTTTCCATTCCATACTTGCAAACCCACTTAGGTTGCCTGCATGCACTGTAAAACATCCTCACGTATTCAGCCACTCTCCAATTAGTTTCAGTCTGTAAATTGTCACTGTGTATTCCCCATAAAATTTAAAACTTTAAAGTACACTGTGTTCCCACTTCCCTGTGGGAAGACAACAGATCTTGCACAATATCAGCCGAAATTTGAACTGTGACATTTTCTTCATGACGCTTTAGGTCAGAACTGTCATTTTCTTGCAGGAGGGGACAAATTTGGGATGGTTAAAGATGTTTAAAACTTGGATTTATGCTTGCTGCATAAAGAAAGTCCTTGGAAGTGAAAAGTTGCTCTTAACTAAAATTGGTTTATTGGCTGTATAGTAAATTGTGCCTATTTGGCGTGTTCCTAGCCATCCAACAATAAATGCCCTAAATGAGAGTCCATGAGGGTAAGATGCTGACTGGGCCAGTGAGTTCAAGGTAGTGCCTTTGCCTGTGCAGAGCCTGTTATGGGACCTCACTTAAGCACCAAAAAAAAAGTCCATCTCTGAGATGATTTGGGGAAATCTGTGATAAATCTTAGTAAGATTTCCTGCAGAAGGTAAGATACGGGCCATAATCCTGTCAAACTGACACCCTGGACAGAACGTTATACTGTTTTTACTAGGCTGATAGCTGTGTAGAATGTCAAAGCATGATAGCATTATTGTATTATCCTGAGCTTACTTTAATCTAATAGCGAGTTTACATCCTATGGTAAATTGGAAAAGTTGAAATCTACTGAAGAGAAGAAAATATTTTGTCTCTATAAATATTCTGATTGAATGGCTAAATTAGAATTTAACACATCATAAAAACTGTAAGATCATTCTTCTGTCATCTGTTAATGTTGTTAATATTAGTCAATGGTAATATCTGTATTTTCTATGAATGTGTTGTTTTGTTTTTTTTTTTTTAGCAATATCGAAAACTAAGCCAGTCTTACTACCCGCTTTTGGAGTGTCTGACCCAAGATCACATGAGTTTCATTACCAGTTTAGAACCTCATGTCCTAATCTATATTCTTACCTCAATATCTGAAGGACTTACTGCAGTAGGTAAGAATTACTTACACTTGGCTGAAGAAAGAATTCAAGTATTTAGCTATCTAGGATTTTCAAAGAAGCACATTAATTTGTGTCTTAAAAAAATTAATATCAAGTGATAGTGGGAAATGCTGGCTTTTGAACATTTTAAGAATGTGACTATTTCAGTTAACGGAGCTAAGTTCTTTTAAACATCTAACCTTTAGTTTTTTACAGATAGTATTTTTAAATTGCCTTTTCTTACAAGCCAGAATTGTTAAAATTATTAATGTGCCTCCACTAGGATTGTACTGAAAATTCATGCATTTGTTATTCAGAAGTAAATTGTATTAATATGTGTGCAGGAATCTGTGGGGTTTTGGTTTTATTTGATCAACATAGCTGTTGTATAAATAATGCTTGTTCTGCACAGCTGTGATATAATTTGAGAAATTTAAAGGCCTCTATCCATGGAAAAAAGAAACTAGCTATTCAGTACTTCCTGAATATACTTCAGAAGAGAATCAGTGCAACAGAAGCGTACTTGGAGTAAAGATAAAAATACAGCGGTCTGATTGCAGTTCATTTCGTTACCTTGCATGGTTTAATTTACGCTTTTTAACCAGGTGACTGTCCAAACATTTGGGGTTGGGAGGAGGCAGTATGGGGAGGGTTGGTAGCCTAAAGTCATTTGGAATAGGGAGAAGGAGACTGAACATTTGGGGGAACAAAAAATAAATCAGGCAGTTACATTCTGATCACCTAGGAATATCAGGCATTTATATAGTTTTTGACTGAGAAGCTGTTCAAAACCTTACAGTCATATTTATTGATTAGGGTAGTTCTTGGAAAAAAAAACCAACAGGAACGTATAACATTAGTGTGTATAGATGTTACTCTATAATAGCTGATGTTTCTTATTACCGCCAAGTGTCAGTGAAGTCCCATAGGAATGTGTGAATGCACCGAGACTCACAAAGCATTTGCTATGTTAAACACATTCAGCAGTTTTTGCTGCATGCTCTTAGAGAGAAAATGGGTAGTAAATAGCTAAGCAACAGTAGTAAAGAAGTATTCAGGTCATTTTATTATATAATGCTGAAATCCATCTTCTCCCAGATATTTTGAGTGCTTTGTCACCTGTAATGATGGAACAGCAATTTCTGCCTATAGGCTGGTTCTGCCTGTTGATCATTTGCGGATGGGTATGTTGTACGGAACGTTAGCTTGACTGACAGCTACCAGTTTAGCAAGCCCTGTTTCTATTCTCTGTTACCACTCCACGTTACATCTCTTCCATTTGAGATATTGGTTACATTCATTCATACTTTAACCATCTCTTTGAAACCCAATTTGAATTCATGTAAAAGAGAGAGAAGAAAATGTAAAAGCTGTCTAAGCTTCAGCTTTCATGTGTTACGTTTATTTTTCCCTCTCAAAAGGTGTTGATCTCTCACTCAAGGCAGGGAGGAGGAGTAATAACAGTATGTATTTCCAATTTTAGCTTTAAACTTTTGTGGTTTAGGTGTCTAGGAGTTTAATAATGAAGAATTACTAATTTTTAGGAACATAGATATTTTCTTAGAAAACTTTTATTCTGTGGAATTCCTGATATTCTGCTGAGAAAAGTAGCAACAAAAATTTGAACAGCTCACTTTTTTTCACATTTCATAAACCGTAGATTTGCTTAGCCAATGCTCTCCTTCAGTTCATCTTAATGTCCTTAAAAGTCCCTAAAATAAATACAGACATGAGAGACGAAAACAAAGTGTGTAGAAATTTTTAACTTCACCTGACTTCACTGAAGGCTTGATGCAATCCATAAAAAGCTGTTATGCTTACTTTCATGTTCAGTTTTTTTCTTTCTTTACTCTGATTCCTCCTAACTCAAGTAGTTTTGCAGTCTTTGAGACTTGCCAAATCTTTCTGTCAGTAAGACCTGGCTGTTTCCATATTGCCCGTAGGGGATGTGCAATCTCCATCCTTGGAGATCTTCCCAGATACTGGACAAGATCCTGAGGAACCCGTCTGATGTTGACCCTGTTTTGGGCATGAGGTTGGACTGGAGGATGCTCCCGTTTGGTTTCTGCCATCAACTTTAGGATCCTACTAGTATTTTCCCTTCA